TTGATTTTTGAACTCTAGCTTACCCTTCTGTTTCCATGTAGTGGGACTGCGATGATCATACTTGGTATAGGAGCAGGTCATGACTAGCTTGGAGTTGAGGTGATCGCTGCGAGACCGGGAATTTGTTCCTCGTGTTAGAGTTACCATTTTGGGTAACGATCTTGTCTGTGTTTGATCGGCACTAGGACGATATTATTTTGGGATGACTGTACATATATGATGTTATATTTTGTACATAGAAACTTAGTTATTTTTTTTATCTATACCTGTGTATATGAGTTATACAGTTTTAATATTTTTCTTAGTTAACTATTAGTAATGCGATTCCACTAAGTGTAGAGACCATGGTCGGTCGTTACAATTAAAATGATATTTTTTTTCAAAATCTTAATTATTGGAATTCAAATAAGTTTCTTTAAGTAATTTCATATTTTAAAATATTTTATAATACGGTGTGAATATAATAAAATTAATTAATTTAATATTTATACAAAATAATTAAAATTATTGTTCTCACCTGAGATCGGCTTGAGGGGCGATCACTCCGATGAGATTGGTGAGCCTCTTCTCCTAGGTACGTCGGTTGTGCCGAGATGGGGATGGTACCTGCAAAAGTGACTCTGATGTTAAAGTTAGTTATTGATAGTATAGATGTCTCGTGTATATATAGTAGGTGTACCTTGGCGATTGGGATTTTTCCTTTTAGATGAGAGCGAGGTTAAGGTCGGCCCAATATTAGTCGTGGCCCAATTGACTATGGGCTCGTGTACGTGATTGATGTCGTAGTATAGTTAGGACCGACTTGGAACTCGATATCTGGTGTGGACAGTACAATTATAAAATAATTTTTAAGAAGAATCAAATTAACATGATATTCTTACTATCTTATCATTATTAATTTTATTAATTTTTTATATATAAATTATAATATTTTTATAGAAATTATCCTTGTATTCATTGTGGTACCATTTTTTTAATTGAAATTCAGAACAAATGTAAAATAACTTTTAAATTATGATAAAATTTCACAAAATAATAATTTTATATATTATAATATATCATGTGTGCATATAAAAAATTTAAATAATTATATATTAACTAATTAATTATAATATAATAAAATATACTTAATTATTTATATTAAAATTATTTATTTAAAATTTAAAATTTAAAAAATAATAATAAAAATAAACACCGTAAACCGGAGGCTTAAGATAATGACCTCAATTACCTTGCCTTAACCACGGCCCTGGATGATGTTAGTATATATATTTTTAATAGATCTATTAGCACTGGAAACTAATAATCAATAAATAAAATTACTTTTGGGTCATCATTTTAATTATAAAACACTTGTAAACATCATTTATTTTTTAATATAAAATTAGTCCTTTCGGCCATTTTGATTACAGATAAAAAAAAAATGCCCAGTGCGATATTTTGAACTGAGAAGAAATTTAAAAACATTGGTACAAAAAATTGTCGAAATTGGCAAGCTCAAATTCCCGATTGCATCCATTCCAATAAGGTTCATCATATATATACACCTCTTTTTTTTATATATATAAAAGTACATTTCCTTTAAAAAAAACATTAAAATATCTTTAATTCTTCTTTTATTTTCTGATTTTTTAATTTTACATTTCTAATATATTAATTTAACATTTTCTCTTTCTTCTACACACTACTTTTCCTATTTTCACATGCATTTCTTTACATTTTGGTCACTTCTCACTTTTTTATTTTGATAGGTATTTTTTTTTTAATTTTCATATTATTTTCTTTTCCTCTATCCTCTTTCGATTTTCACAATAATTATAAAATTGGTATTCAACAACATTGTATGTACGTATGATTTACTCAATAATGTCAAAGGAGTTGAGACGGTTTTTCTTTTTCAAACACTTTTTCCTGTTTTACATTTCTAAAAAATCTCAACATTAATATTTTGAAAATACTTTTTGAAAAATTAATTTTAATATTTTAGAATAGTGAAATTAATGTTTTAAATAGTATTTTCATAATTGTGTTTTTACATACTTTCGAAAAATGTTTTCTAAAATACTAAATTTATTGTTTCAAAAATAATTCTTTAGAATCATGCACACTCCTAAGAAAATTTTTTTTAGAAGCACTAATTTTAATATTTCAAAAAATACTTTTCATAATACTAATAGTAAGTATCGAAGGTGGGATATAAACCTTTCACCTTAAGCTCATGGTATAAACACTTTCTTGCATTAATAATACATATCTATTATACCTTTTTTTCTTCTTCAAAATATCCTTAATATTTTTTATTTTCTAATTTCTCAACTTTATGAACCCACATTTCCCCTTGCCTTTAGCGATTAATTGTTTTCTCAAGTATTCACCCCCTTTACACCGCCTTCATGGCCCCTTGTTTTCCAATGTTCAATTTTTTTTTCCAAAAAATGCACTCATTTCACATGCACTCTCTTTCTCCAATTTTTTTAGGATTTCAAATGTTTTATTTTGGAGATTCTTTTATTTATTGAATATATATATATATATAAAGAGTAAGTCTACCCAAACTTATTACATTCAATAACTCATATTTTATATCAAATTTTAACAATCAAACTATTGAATATAATTTTTTTAATGCATAGATAAAATTTGTAATTTTCTTTTAAAATTTGAAAATTATATGATACTTTGTTTCATTAATTCAAATAAACATATAAAATGATTTTATGATTATCTGTCAATTTGAATTAATGAAACGAAATATTAAATGATTTTCAAATCTTTAACTAATTTGCACACTTTATTTATACATTAAAAACTTTAAATTTAACAATTGAATCTTTAAAATTTGATGTAAAACATGAGTTATTGAACGGAATAAGTCTAAGTAGACTAATTTTAAAATAAATGGACCCCTTCTCTCTCTCTCTCTCTCTCTCTCTATATATATATATATATATATATATATATATCCTTTTTTCATCCTCTTTTTTTAGTATTTTAGAAAGTAATTTTTAGATGTATGTAAAATAACAATTTTATAAAGTACTTTCTTTAATTATGAAAATATTCTTCTAGAATGTTATTATTTTTTTCAGAATACTAAAATTAATGTTACATAAACTGAATGCACATGTACCAAGGGTGCAGAAACATTAAAATTCTATGTTTTAGAAAGAAAATTATATTTCTAAAATTTTAGTCCATTTTAAAATCTTAAAAAATGGAAAGAAAAAAAAAAGGTGTCAATCTATATATGAAATGAGTTGGTGCTTAGATAGAAAAAAATAAATGTTTGAGGTAAGAGTATAAAAAAGTGATACATGTAAAAGAGATGGATGTTTGAAAAACAAAATTAAAAGGGGACGAGCAAAATAAGAGGTGAGTGCTTGAAAAACGAATTGAACCTCATATTAATGGGATTCATAAAGTCAAAGAATTAAAAAAAAAAACATTAAAAATATTCTAGAGAAAAAAGTATGATAGAAATGTATTATTAATGTAGACAAGAGTATATATCACAAACCTTCCCCTTTACACCAACAATATCAAATTCATTAAAATATTTAGCTTGTTTATTATTATTAT